CCACGAGAGCGGCGGCCGTATTGGCTAGACTGCACGGCGGCGCGCGCGGGGCTTCATGGGAGGTGTAGTACCAGCAGCCGCAGGGCACTGCGACTCTTGGGTCTGACGTTGGCGATTTTGCCCCTTGTGAGCTGTCTGCGGTTGTAAAGAGGTGGGTGTGTTTGGAGAGGGGGTGGGAGGAGTGGGAAAGATTCGAGCGAAAAACTGAAGAGTCCAAAATCAAAGGTAAGTGAGGGTTGCAGACTTGTGGAAAGGTATGGACCTATTACAAATTGGGGCGCAGAGCGCTTGGGGGGAGGGAGGCGTAGGCTCCACGGCCAATCAGACACTAGCAACTGTTGCCTTAGCAACCACTCCCGACACTTAGGATCCCGCCCCCTGTCCCCACTTCAAGGAAAGGAGAGAAACTCAGACTGTTTAAATGTGGCTCTTGGGCGGAGGGGGGAAGAGCGTGGGTTTCGTTTTCTCACCCGCTGTGGTGACTCTGTACCTGCAGTTTTGGGTGGCCTGGGCATGACGGAGTGACGGGAGGTGGGCTGGGATTCCGGGCCCGCGCCCCATCTCTTCCGGATTGGTCCGTATCCCCGCGAGGGCGGGGCTTGGGGGGGGGGACACTTCCCGCCCGCTGCGAGGCGAGGGCCTCCGGGATTCCTAGAGAGGACTCGGAAGTGCTCTCGGGGGTGGGATTTATGGTTTACCCCTGTTGGACAGGGAAAGCTTGGACTTGCTTACTTCCGGCGGAGAAGTGTTGGGAAGTGTCGGGTTTGGTTTTCTCTCGGTTTCTGAGAAGAGCCTCATCTTTCCATCCTTGGCCGCGAGGAACTTGAGCTTCCAGGACTGCTCCTGGGAACGGGGCTTTGAGGGACGGGATTAGGGCTTTGTGTCCGGACCGGGGTCCTGTTCCTACCCTTGACCGGGCGGGTCTCGATGTCTTGGGGTCAGAGGCGATTCTGAGGAATCTAGGTCCAAGTCAGTAGTAATAACCCTGCTTCTTATCGGAACCAACAATGTGTCCCGTTGGTCCGCCAAGCTCTTGTTGCTTGAAGGTTAGAACCAGTTTTGGCCATCATGTTTTTCTCACCTCTTCTGACTTAAGTTTGGTTTATGGCAGACAGAAGGAGCGGCTGCATCTGGTCTAGTTAGTGAGTCTTATTGCATTATTTATATGAAATGTAAAGTTCTTCGCCTCTAAACTGATGTCAGACTTTTATGGCTTCCTTTTACATTTTAGATTGGGCCTGATGTCAGATTTTTAGGACTCTTCTTTAAATTTTAATTTTTTTAAAAAAACTATTGGCCATCTTCTCTAGTAGTAATTGCTTTTTGAGTGGAATGAAGACTGCATTATGGTCCATATTTTTAGGTAGATCGTTGAGTAGATACCTTTATTGTAGATGTCCTCTTTGCCACCTCTCTTTCCTAATAATGATTCCCAATATATCAGTAGGTTGTGCACTACTGAAAGTGTCCTTCAGAAGATCTTAAAGAGCAGAAAACAAACTGGGTCAGTGTAACCCACCCAGCCTCCAGATACTTCCCTCTGAGTTGGAATGATAATGACAGAATCCCGGGAAGTTATAGACTTAGACCCTCCAGCTGAGACTTCACAGGAGCAGGAAGACCTTCTAATAGTGAAGGTGGAAGAAGAAGACTGCACCTGGATGCAGGAGTATAGTCCACCAACGCTTGAGACGTTTTACCAACGCTTTAGGCACTTCCAGTACCATGAGGCATCAGGACCTCGGGAGGCTCTCAGCCAACTCCGGGTGCTCTGCTGTGAGTGGCTGAGGCCAGAGCTGCACACCAAGGAACAGATCTTGGAGCTGCTGGTACTGGAGCAATTCCTGACCATTTTGCCAGAAGAGTTCCAGGCCTGGGTGAGAGAACATCACCCGGAAAGTGGAGAAGAGGCTGTGGCTGTGGTAGAAAATATACAGAGAGAACTTGAGGAACGCAGACAACAGGTAAGTCAAAGAGGAGACACAAAAAATTAGGAAGGAGAGGAAAGAGTTAAGGAGTTGCTGAGCAGAGGTGAGAATCTTAGCCCTCTATTGCTTCATTCATATTCTTTTATTCTCCTGGGATTAGGTACATTTGGAGATTTCCTGTCACACCAGCAAAGAGAAGCAATGTCCAATATGTTAACCTGAAGAAGACAACCTTAAATGTTACCTATTTTAAAAATTATTGTATTTATTTTTTGAAAGCTATAATATAAAATTCAAAAAGGTACATAAGGTTGTAATGAAAAGTAAGTTTTCCTCCCCCCCTAATTTTCTTACTGCCTAGTTCACCTCATTAGAGGCAACCATTGCTCCATGATACTTGTATATACTTGCAGAGATATACTGTATTCTATATGTAAGTATATATGTATATGACATGTTTTTTAAAAAGAATTATTTTACTGAACTTATTTATTCATTTATTTATTTAAATTTGACCAGAGAGGGACAAAATGAGAGCGAGAGGGAAAGTGAGAAAGTGAGCTGCCAGGTCCAGGACTCAAACTGTGGTTGACCATGTGGGAGTCCAGTGCCCTTAACCACCATGTCACCTGCCAGCTCTGAAGGCAGCTTATGTATATAACATGTTTTAAAACACGCACACAGGTTTTTTTTTTTTTTTTTCCCTGAACTGGTTTTTGCTATAGGGTGCATGTGCAGGCCAGAAAGACAGAGAGAGACAGAGACAGAAAGTGAGAAATCACCCCCCCGGGGGGATGGTTACGCTGCAATCCCTTCTCCTCCATTCTCCTCTCAGGATCTTGGGCACACATGCACATGCACCTGGTGTGAGTTTAGGCCGCCGGGTCTGGGTCTCCAACCGTGGTCGACTACATGGGAGTCCAGTGACATAGCCATTATACCCTATCCACTGATTTTTTTTTTTACGCTTTAAATGACTGCTACATCTGGAATTTATTTTAGCATAGGGTGTGGTTACAACTTAATTTTTTCCCCCAAATCTTTATCTAGTTGCTCCAACAACTTTTATAGTAATCTTATTTTTTTTGCTTCTTAATTAAAATCTCATCTTTAGGGGACCAGCAGGTGGCGTAGTGGTTAAGGCGCTGGACATTCCCACATGGCCAACCATGGTTCAAGTCCTGGACCTGGTGGCTTGCTTTCTCACTTTCTCTCTCCCTCGCTCTCTCTCTCTCTCTCTGGTTAAATTAAAATGAACAAATTAATGAATAAAGTTAAATAAATAATTATTTTAAAAAAAAATCTCATCTTTATTGGGGCCAGCAGGTGATACAGCAGTTATGGTGCTGGACTCCCACATGGCCAACTGCGTCTCAAGTCCTGGGCCTGGTGGCTTGAAAATCATTCTGGGCACGTGTGCGAGTGTGCCCAAGATCCCAGGAGGAGAATAGAGGAGAAGGGATTGCAGTATGGTCGTCCCTCCTGGGGGGTGATTTCTCATTTTCCCCTTTACTGTGTCTCTATCTCTCTCTCTGTCTCTCTGGCAGAGCAGGCACCCTAAGGCGAAACAGAAACAAAAACAAACAAAACTGGGAAAAAAATAGCTCACCTTTATCATGTGAAATTTCTTCATGTATTTATCTTACTGTCCATGTATCAGTGTTTTAATTATTTGAACTCTAAAATCATTTGGTATCTGGTAGGTTTGCTGCCCTTACCCTCTCCTAATATTTTCTGTGTGTGTGTGTGTGTGTGTGTGTGTGTGTGTTTTCCCTTTATGAACTTTAGAATTACTTTCCACCACTCCTAAAATTCTGTTGGTATTATTACCAAGACTGTTGATATCTTTATGTTACTATATCTTCTTATCCTTTCCTATACTCATGTATAACCTGACCACCATCTTCCCCTTGCTACTAGATACACACTCTCCTAAACTTTATTTTCTTATACCAGAGAAACAAAGATCATGACATCATAGGCTTACAAGAATTTGAAGCTATTTCAAGAATTTCTCACATTGCATTTAAGTCTGAGGTTCTAGTCTCATGATTCCTACCCTCTGGGTAAAGGATCCTTAAGTGTTCCAGAGCACCCTCAGGCTCTTGAGCTGAGGTAGCTCACTCCATGATACACGTTGCAGTGGAGTGGGTGGATGCTGACCCATGGTCAGACCCTGAGAGATCGTCCTACAGATGGCTACCGTCAGGGCACAAAGTAACATCCATTATCCCTTATCCTAACCTGATTTGTGACACTAATGGACACACTACTGTCTTATAGAAGTAAATATTCAAAAGCAGGATCAGCAGATGGCATAATGGTTATGTTGCTGGACTCCCATGTAGTTGACTGCAGTTTGAGTCCCAGACCCAGTGGCGTAAAATTCATGCCAGGCGTGTGTGTGTGTGTGTATACCCAAGATCCCAAGAGGAGAATGAAGGAGAAGGAATTGCAGTGTGGACATCTCCTCTGGGGGGTGATTTCTTGCTTTCTGTCTCTCTGGTGAGTATATGCATCCTATAGCAAAAACAGAAAAACCTCTTAAAAAAAAACCCAAAAAGCATAGTTTAAATCCAAAACAATTTTCTTTTAAAAGAGGTTTTTGCCTTATGGTGTGTGTGCTTGCCAGGGAGGTGGGGGAGAGAAAGAGACAGACAGTGAGACGGAAAGGGAGAAATCACACACACCCCCTGGGGGGGGGGATGGCCATGCCACAGTCCCTTCTCCATCTTCCTCTTGGGATTTTGGGCACTCATGCACATGTGCCCAGTGTGAGTTTTAGGCTGCTGAGTCCTGGACTTAAACCATGGTCAACTACCTGGGAATCCAGTGATGTAACCATTACACCATCTGCTGGTCCCCCAAAAGGATTTTAAAAATAAAATTTACAGCAGACATTACATCTCTTATTGTAATGCGTAGCCCTTCTTTGGAAGGGACACAGAGAAAAATCAGTTCTTGTTGGCAGTTAGGGATTTTAGGCCCATAGAAAGGATTTTTCCAACGGCTTCCACAGCCCTCTTTGTTTGCTGCCTTCTGGTATCTTCTAGATTGTTCCTCAGCTTTATCTCCAAGCAGTTCTGTCTCTGGCAAGCGTTTTTCTGGGCTCTATCTCTGCTCCTCCTGGGTTCCTCTGTCCTCATCTCAGTGGGCTTCAAGGGCTACTTTGCTCCTTTGGTGCTGAATGCCCTTTAGCATGCTTTGAATCATCCTAACTCCTGTTCTGAGCAAGTCCAGAAGGACACTCAGACTTCCAGCCTGAGTGCTTTTTGCCACAACTGTTTTGCATATGCCTCTTTTTTTTTTTTTAACTTTTATTAATTAAAAAAAATTTTTTTTGAGAGGTTTTTGCTATAGGGTGTGTGCGCTTTCCAGAAAGACACAGAGAGGTAGAAAGACAGAAAGCAAGAAATCACCCCCTCCGGGGGGGATGGCCATGCTGCAATCCCTTCTCCTCCATTCTCCTCTCAAGATCTTGGGCACACATGCACATGTGTCCAGTGTTTGTTTGTTTGTTTGTTTGTTTTAATTATTTATTTAATTTAATTTATTCATTCATTTATTTTAATTTGGCCAGACTCTCTCTCACACACACACATGCACACACACACACACACACACAGAGAACGAGAGAGAGAGAGAGAAAGTGAGAAAGCGAGCCACCAGGTCTAGTACTTGAACCATAGTCGGCCATGTGGGAGTGTCCAGCGCCTTATCCACCATGCCATCTGCTGGTCCCTGTTTTTGTTTTTAAAGAGAACTTTTTGCTACAGGGCATGTGTGCTCTCCAGAGAGACAGAGATAGAGACACAGAAAGCAAGAAATCCCTCCCCCCGGGGGGGGGGGGATGGCCATGCCACAATCCCTTTTCCATTCTCCTCTTGGGATTTCGGGCACACACACACTCACCCGGCATCAGTTTTAAGCCACTGTGTCCAAGACTTAAACTGCAGTTGACTACATGGGAGTCCCATGATGTAACCATTATGCCATTTGCTGGTCCCAAAATTTCAAAAGTTTTAAAACCCAAGGGGGAAGGAAGGGGTAACAACTCTGTCTTAGTGCAGGATCCTAATACTTTCCAATGTGCTGGTACCAAGCAAGTACCTTCTAGAATAGGCAGATTCTAGAGAGTGGTTGTGGCAAAATAATTGTGTATACTCTGGAGTTGAGCAAGAGCCAAGAACAGGAAGGTGGATATGTGTAGAAATCAACATGAACTAGTTTTAAGTCTTAGTGTTGGTCTCTCCTAGTGTGGCTTCAAGAGTTCTCCCCTGACCTTCTGAATTTCCTTTCTCACCTCTCCCCGTTTCACTAAGCTTAGCACACCTGGCCACTTTATTGTTCCTTGATAGTACCAAACACCTTCTTTATGCCTGGGAGTATTTGCTGATGTTCTCTGAATCACTTCTCTTTATTTTCTCCTGGCCAACTTCTTCTTTTCCTTTTGGTGTTTACTTACGTGATACGTCAGGAAAATCTTTCCTGGCCTCCAGTCTAAAGTAGGTCTCAGGTGCCAAGTTCTCCTTTGTAAGGTATAGCAGTTTGTAATTATGTATTTATTTTTGTGCTGATGTGTTTAATGAAACTTTTCTCTAACTAGAAGTAAACTGAGTTTATTGAGCCACTCTGTTTAAGTGCCTGGCTCACTGTAGACATACATTAAATATTTGGCAAGGGAATGAATGCAGGATTCTTTTATAGTCTTCTTTGTAACTGTTCTGATTGCTGGTGGTTGTGGTTGTTAGATTGTTGCATGTCCTGAAGTGCTTCCTCAGATGGGACCACCTGGAGCAGTACAGGAGTCCTTCAGTCACCAGCTCCTATCTGCAGACACCCAGCCTGAAGAAGACCCACAGAAGCCTCATCTGCTGGAGGAAAATGGTGAGGTTCAGCCATTTGACAGAAGCGACATGTAGAGAGCAGCTACGAGGGGAAGTGGTATCCATAAGAGAGAACTTGAGGCTGGGCAGCCTCTCTGCATATCCAGCAGGGTCTGGAGATTAGGACCTGGAGTTGAGTCTCTGGTGTTAAGAGAAAGGTCATCTTACAGGATTGCTATGAACTCTACCACAATTTTATTCCAAAGCTATTAATAATCGCAAATGAAGACAACTCTGAGTACAAAAATAACACAATCTTCAATAGTTTTTTATCTCTACCTCATAGATTTTGTTGTCTTACTACTTGTATTAAAAAAGCTGTCTAGTTCCTAATTGCATTCATGTATAGTTATTCAGTCTTTAACCTTAAAATCTTATTGGGGGGGGGCACCAGCTGGTGTAGTGGTTAAGGACGCTGGACTCCCACATGGCTGTGTCCCGGATCTGGCGGCTTGCTTTCTTACTTTCCTTCTCTCACTCTCTCTCTCACTCTGTCCCTCTCTGGATAAATTTTAAAAATAAATAAATAAATGGATAAATAAAGCTAAATAAAATAATTTTTTAAAAAATCTTATTTGAATGACCTCTAGAGCATTGTTCTTTTCCTTTCTTTTCTTAACCCCCTTTTCAGTTTTATTAACCTGCATTAGATACATCAAGGAAGAAAAGTAAACAGCTAAGTGTCATATTCATTATGATATATGCCCACAAGTCCATAATCCCTAATCAGAAACCCTTGGTATCAGGATATTTTAGAATTCAGAATTTTGCAGATTTAGTAAATAATATTTAAATACTGTCCATTACCTTGGCATCAGGATTTGAGGTGAAACTCATAATTATACATACTAATATTCCTATCATGAGTTGTATGCATATTTATAGTAAATCAAATGCATAGCCTCACATCAGGTCAGGTTTTTCTATCAATTTAGTTCATTACCTAACATAATAAAGAAAAAACCCTTTAGTCGTGAGAGTTTTGAGATTTCAGAATTGTGGATAAGGGTCTGTATTTCCTCCATTAGGTTCTAGGCTTTCATCTAGGTACCATTTGGTGATCAGGTCTGCCCTGACATTCCCTACTGCCCTTTATCCGTTTTTCCTGTTTCTGTGGTAAAATGACAGCAGCAGCAACAGCAGCAACTATTACTTAAATAATGTATTATCTTCAGGACCTGTTGTAAGCATTTAAAAAAAATTTTAAAGAGTTATTTTATGTCACATTTATTTTAATTTGATCAGAGAGGGACAAAGTGAGATAGAGAAAGAGGGAAAGTGAGAAAGCAAGGTCTGGGACTTGAATCGCAGTCAGCCCTGTGGGTCCCGCACCCTTAACCACCAAGGTACTTGCCAACCCCTGTTCTAAGCATTAGGTATTCGTTCTTTAACCTTAAAATCTTATGGGGGGGGGGCCCCAGCTGGTGTAGTGGTTAAGGACGCTGGACTCCCACATGGCTGTGTCCCGGATCTGGCGGCTTGCTTTCTTACTTTCCTTCTCTCACTCTCTCTCTCACTCTGTCCCTCTCTGGATAAATTTTAAAAATAAATAAATAAATGGATAAATAAAGCTAAATAAAATAATTTTTTAAAAAATCTTATTTGAATGACCTCTAGAGCATTGTTCTTTTCCTTTCTTTTCTTAACCCCCTTTTCAGTTTTATTAACCTGCATTAGATACATCAAGGAAGAAAAGTAAACAGCTAAGTGTCATATTCATTATGATATATGCCCACAAGTCCATAATCCCTAATCAGAAACCCTTGGTATCAGGATATTTTAGAATTCAGAATTTTGCAGATTTAGTAAATAATATTTAAATACTGTCCATTACCTTGGCATCAGGATTTGAGGTGAAACTCATAATTATACATACTAATATTCCTATCATGAGTTGTATGCATATTTATAGTAAATCAAATGCATAGCCTCACATCAGGTCAGGTTTTTCTATCAATTTAGTTCATTACCTAACATAATAAAGAAAAAACCCTTTAGTCGTGAGAGTTTTGAGATTTCAGAATTGTGGATAAGGGTCTGTATTTCCTCCATTAGGTTCTAGGCTTTCATCTAGGTACCATTTGGTGATCAGGTCTGCCCTGACATTCCCTACTGCCCTTTATCCGTTTTTCCTGTTTCTGTGGTAAAATGACAGCAGCAGCAACAGCAGCAACTATTACTTAAATAATGTATTATCTTCAGGACCTGTTGTAAGCATTTAAAAAAAATTTTAAAGAGTTATTTTATGTCACATTTATTTTAATTTGATCAGAGAGGGACAAAGTGAGATAGAGAAAGAGGGAAAGTGAGAAAGCAAGGTCTGGGACTTGAATCGCAGTCAGCCCTGTGGGTCCCGCACCCTTAACCACCAAGGTACTTGCCAACCCCTGTTCTAAGCATTTTATCTGTGTGAATTCATTTAACCCTCCACATACCAAGAAAATAGTCCTCAACATCTATTGTCTAGGGCCTATGAATCTTTTTTTTTTTTTTTTGAGAGATTTTTGCTATAGAGCGCGTGCGCTCGCCAGACAAACAGAGAGAGAGAGAGAGACAGAAAGCAGGAAATCACCCCCAGGGGGTTGGCCACGCTGCAATCCCTTCTCCTCCATTCTCCTCTCGGGATCTTGGGCACTCACGCACACACGCCCGGCGTGAGTTTAAGCCACCGGGTCCAGGACTCGAACCGCGGTCGACTACGTGGGAGTCCAGCGACATAGCCATTACGCTAACTGCTGGTCCCATGGGCCTGTGAATCTTTTTTTATTTCTTTATATTGTTAAGTCATTTTATGAATGATTTACAGAAAAATCAAACAGTGCAAAACAACTTTTTACATAATTATTTCATTTTAATTTTATTTATTTATTTATTTATTTATTTTTATTATTATTTTGACTAGAGAGAGATAGAGACAGACAGAGAGAGCAAGGGAAAGTGAGAAAGCAAGCCACCAGGTCTGGGACTCAAACCACAGTCAACCATGTGGGAGTTCAGTGCCTTAACTACTGTACCACCTGCGAGCCCCCAAAAACCAACTTTTTAAGAATCTTAATAATAATTCATGTCCATTTTGTATCAAGTACATTTTGATATACAAACATCCCAAAAGACGGGAGAATACTGTCACACATACAGTCCTTTTAGCAAAATGGAATGGTCCAGGATTTTGTTATGAAATATTGTGATGAAGTCTTTTTTTGTTGAGTGACTTTCTGAATGAGAAGGCCTTATTTCCTCTTTAAAATTAAAAATATATTGTTCATTATTGATTCTTGGACTTGAGAAAATTTATCTAGTGTGAAGACTCATTGTAAGATTTCTTTCTTTTTTCTTTTTTTAAGAATTATTTTATTTGGGGCCAGCAGGTTGTGTGGTGGTTAAGGGTGCTGGATTCCTGTATGGCCGATCACTATCCAAGTCCCGGATCTGGGAACTTGCTTTCTCACTTTTCCTCTCTCTCTTTCTCACTCTGTCCCTCTCTGGTCAAATTAAAATAAAATAAATAAATAAAGCTAAATAAAATAATTCTAAAAAAAAGAATTATTTTCTAAAATAATTTCTAAATTCTTTTCTAAAAAAAAATATTTTATCTAACTTTATTTATTTTATTTTAATATGACCAGAGAGGGACAGAGTGAGAGAGAGAGAGAGAAAGTGAGAAAGCAAGTCTCCAGGTCCAGTACACAAACTGCGGTCGGCCATGCTGGAGTCCAGTGCCCCTAACCACCACGTCACCCGCTGGCCCCAGATTTCTCTTATATTATAGATCATCATTATCACTACAGAGTGTTGCTCTCTTTCTGTATCTTCTTCTGAATTGCTTAATAAGAGTGAACGTGTTCCTCTGCATATTTTCTTCTCTTTGCAGCAAATGAGTTTTCTTTTCTACTATTTTTTTTTTTCTGGAGTGGTTTATGCTATAGGGCGCATGTGCTCATCAGAAAGACAGAGACAGACAGACAGAAGATGAGAAGTCACCCCCTCTGGGGATGGCCACGCTGCAATCCCTTTTCCTCCATTCTTCTCTTGGGATCTTGGGCACACACGCACACATGCCCGGCGTAATATTTAAGCCGCTGGGTCCATAACTTGAACCGCAGTTGACTATGTGGGAATCCAGCAATGTAACCATTAGGCCATCAGCTGGTCCCATTTTTTTTTTTTAAGAGAGATTTTTGCTATAGGGCACATGCGCTCACTGAAGAGATAGAGACAGAGAGACGGAAAGCAAGAAGTCACCCTCCAGGAGTAATGGTCACACCACAATCCTTTCTCCTCCATTCTCTTCTCAAGATTTTGGGCATGCACATGTGCCCAACATGAGTTTTGTTTGTTTGAATTATTGTATTTAACTTTATGCATTTTATTTATTTATTTTAATTGGATCAGGTAGGGACAGAGAGTTTAATTATTTATTTTATTTTATTTATTATTTTATTTTTATTTTTTGAGAGGTTTCTGCTATAGGGAGCGTGACTTGCCAGAAAGAGAGAGACAAAGACAGAAAGCGAGAAATCACCCCCCACAGGGGGGATGGCCACACCACAATCCCTTCTCCATTCTCCTCCCAGGATATTCGGCATGCATGCACGTGCACTTGGCGTGAGTTTAAGCCACCGGGTCCATGACTTGAGCTGTAGTTGACTACATGGGAGTCCAGTGACATAGCCATTAAGCCAACTGGTCCCTATTATTATTTTTTTTAAATTTGACCAGAGAGGGAAAGCCAGAGAGAGAGAGAAGGAAAGTGTGAAAAGTGAGAAAGCAATACTCCAGGTCTGGGACTCAAGCAATGGTTGGCCATGTGGGAGTTCAGTCCTTTAACCACCATGCCATCTGCTGGCCTCCAGCATGAGTTTTAAGCTGACAGGTCCAGGACTCCAACTATGGTCAACTACGTGAGTGTCTAGTAACAAAACCATTATTCCATCTGTTGGTCCCTTTTTTTTTTTTTCCTAAATGTCAGAAGGTGCATGTGCACACATAAGAGAGGGAAGAGAGTAAAAAAGCACCCTTCAGTGGGGCCTGATCACACTGTAATACTATTTCTCTACTTCTCCATCCTGTCAGGGTCTTGGGTACATACATGCATACCCCTGTGTATTTTTCAAGCCGACAAGTTCAGGACTCAAACTCTGGTCAGCCAGGTGAGATTCAGCTTCCTCTGTGTAGCATCTAACCCTTTTACTATAAGGGTAGCCTTCAAATTGTGTCTTAGGTTTATAGAAGTGTCCTAATGATCCATATGAGGAGTCTTCAGATAGTTCCTGGAAAATGTGCATTATGGAAAAACTACATATTTTGAACAAAATAAACTATACTTTAATCCATTTAAAATAAACTGTACTTTAATTTCATTTTTCTGTGACCTTTTTGAAGTCCCCTTGTATAGAATTTACAAGATATTGGATCTGGCAGGTGGCATGGTGGTTAAAGGCGCTGGATTCCCACATGGCTAACCATGGTTTGAGTCCCAGACCTTGGGGCTTGTTTTCTTGCTTTCCCTTTCTCTCTCTTTCTCTGGTCAAATTAAAAAATAATAATAACAAATGGAATTAAATAAATAAATATTTTTAAATTTACAAGATAAAGTGAGTTTTATTTTATTTGTAAAATAAAATACATTTCCTTTTTTTTTTTTCAAAATAAAATACATTTCCTTTTTTTTTCAGGAGACTTCAAAAATAATAAAAGTTATATAATGCTAATTTCAAAAATATTTAAAACTGCTTTGGGGCCAGCAGGTGGCATGGAGGTTAAGGTATTGGATCCATATGACCAACTATGGAGTTTGAGTCCGAGACCCAGTGGCTTGAAAATCATGCTGGGCTCATGTGTATGTATGCCCAAGGTCTAAAAGGAGACTGGAAGAGTAAGGATTGTGGCATGGCCATCCCTCCTGGGGGATGATTTCTCTGTTTCATTTTCTCTCTCACTCTTTCTTTCTCTGCCTCTGGTAAGTAGATATGCCATATAGCAAAAATTTTTTAAAAATTAAAATTACTCAAAAAAGAAACTGAAAAACTAGAATTGTGTCCAGTAGATCTTACCGGTATACCAAGAGCTAATTTTTACAATAATGCAGTAGAGTAGATATTACTGTTATCCTCATGTTAGAAACTGAGAAGCTGGAGACCAGCAGATGGCATAATGGTTATGTCGCTGGACTCCCATGTAGTTGACTATGGTTTGAGTCCTGGACTCAGTGACTTAAAACTCACACTGGGTTGGGGCCAGCAGGTGGTGTGGTGGTTAAAGTTGCTGGATTCCCACATGGCTAACTGCAGATCGAGTCTCAGACCTGGCAGCTTCCTTTCTCTCTCTATCTCTCTCTGGTTGAATTAAAAAGTAATATTAAATAGAAATAAATTAATAAATATTTAGAAAACAAAACAAAAACTCATGCTGGGTGTGTGTGCATGCATGCCCAAAATCCCAGGAGGAGAGCATGGAAGAGAAGGAATTGTAGCATGGCTATTCCCCTGGGGGTGGGTGGGTGGGTGATTTCTCACTTTCTGTCTCTCTGTCTCTTTGGTGAATGCACATACCCTATAGCAAAAATCTCTCTTAAAAAAAAAAAAAAAGAAAAAAAAAGAAAGAAAATTGAGAAACTGAGGCCTAGAGAGGTTGGCTAATTTGTCCAGAGCTACAGCTGTTAAGTAACACAGCTGGGCTTTACTCCAAATGGTCTGACTAAACCTGTGCCTTTACCCTATTCCGAACTGTTGTGTCTTTGTTTCATCACCATATTCCCCTGAGCACAGACTGCCATCCTCCTTAGATCATCTACTTTCAGAGTCTTACCAGATTAGGTTCTTCTGTTTCTTGGTGCTTCTTATCTTCTCTCCCTTTTAACCAGACCCTAATAAGCAGTTTCTTTTCATTTATGTATTTAATTACACTTGTTATTATTATTATTTTTTAATTTGACCAGAGAGAGACAGAGAGGGAGAAAGGGAAAGTGAGAATGCAAGCCGCTAGGTCCGGGATTCGAATCATGGTCAGCCATGTGGGAATCCAACACCTTTATCCACCATGCCACCTAGTGGCCCCCCTACACAGTTTCTTTATTTCATCAGACTTACTGTTCACTTAGGGACCATATTCATCACTTTCTTCAAGTCTTTTTTTTTTTTTTCTGAAAGATATTTTGCTATAGGGTGTGTGCGCTTGCCAGAAAGAGAAACAGAAAGTGAGAAATCACCCCCCGGGGGCATGGCCACACTGCAATCCCTTCTCCTCCATTCTCCTCTCAGGATTTAGGTACACACACACATGCTCCCAGTGTGAGTTTAAGCCACTGGGTTTGGGACTCCAACTACAGTTGACTACATGGGACTCCAACAACATAACCATTAGGCCATCTGCTGGTCCCTCTTCAAGTCCTCTTTTCACTCTGTAACTACTCCTGGTTTCAGAACCCTTCTCTGTTTTCAGATTTCATCTTAAACCATTATTTCCTCCTTTTTATGTCCTAATTTGTTATTTTCTAGTCACTGTAAATGAGGAAGGCACCTATACATGTAAATTTCCAGAATTAAAGAGATCATAGCAAGAGGTCTAAACCATTGGAATAGAGGGTCATACCAAGCAGGTCTGTCCAAGCCAGGGCACACATAGACAGTGAGATCCAGTTGTGCCATGATCTCAGAGAGCAAGCAGAGATGACAGCAGAGGGTCATATGAGATCCTCCAGGTATTGCACGTGTTCTTCACATGGAAAGTCTCCCTCTCCCTTCTTCACCCCTACTGCCCAGAGTCGTCGTTTGTGGAAACACTTTTCTGTTGCTCTCACTGCCCCCCTCTCCACTCAGTAGATGCCCCAGCCTTTGAGTTCTTCTGGAAACTGGAATGAACCTCAATTATATTGCTCTTCATTCTGTTGTAAGAAAGGCAGGCTTGGGGCTGGCAAGTGGCGTGGTGGTTAAGGGCGCCGGACTCCCACATGGCTGACTGCAGTTCGAGTCCCAGACCTGGTGGCTTGTTTCTCACTTTCTCCCTCTCTGGTCAAATTTAAATAAATAAATAAATAAAGCTAAATAAAATAATTCTTTAAAAACAAAAAAGAAAGGCAGGTTCCTATGTATGCCCTCCCCAGTAGACAGTAAAGTTTTTGAAGATGAGAGTTGTTTTATCTGCTGGTTCATATAACAGAGAGTAGACTTATTTGACTGAATATAAACTAACCATGGAAATTCTCTGAAGGGAGAGACTGTGGGCTGAGACCTTACTAATCTCAAGTGTGACCAAGAGCAAGAGCACCAGCATCATGAGGAACTTGTTAGGAATGAAAAATATCAAGACCCACCTAGTTCTTCCCTCACCCCAAATCAGAATCTACCTTGTACCAAGATCTCAAGGTGATTTGTTTGCACATTAAAGCTTGAGAAGCCTGGGGATATAGGAAATGCTTCAGCTTCATGCTGCATTTGGAAGACAAGGGACATTGTTCTTTGAGATCAATAAATTTGATCTTGGCAAAGCAGAATGCATCCTTTAGAGGGGACTGACCCAGCAAAGATTAGACTGGCCAAAGCAGAGAGTCAATTTGGGAAGGGTCAGAAAGTAGAGAGGCTTTAGAGCCCAACAGAAGGATTTGGCCTGGGTGCAGCGGGGGCCATTGTAGGTTGTGAGCAAAGAGGAACATGATGGCAATGAGAACCGGACAAAGATATTCTCACCTAAATCTCTTTTTCTCCTCCCTCAGCACTTCCTGTTCTCCAGGTTCCTTCCCTTCCCCTGAAGGACAGCCAGGAGCTGACAGCTTCACTTCTCTCAGCTGGGTCCCAGGTGAGCTAGTGCCCCTTTGCCCTCAGTGAGGACCCATACCTTTTCTCTGACAGCTGCCTTCATCCTGAATCTTTATCAGGAGTTCTGCTTCTTTAGTCAGCACTCAGGCACCCTTGGGTTGGTACCTATATTCCCTTTTGTCTGTTTCCATTCTGCCCACTACTTCCCTGTCTTCTCTGAAGCATAGTCCCTTCCCCTGTTTATTTCCTGAATGTTCCCAGTTCTTCCTTTCACTCCAAATTTGAGCATAGGGGATGAGAATTTAGTGGAGATCTCCTGTTACAGAAGTTGGTGAAAATTGAAGATGTGGCTGATGTGGCTGTATCCTTCATCCTGGAGGAATGGGGACATTTGGACCAATCCCAGAAGTCCCTTTTTAGGGATAACAGGAAGGAGAATTATGGGAGTATTACTTCCATGGGTAAGAATGACTTCATCTGCATGAATTAGAACATTTTGTTATCTTATAAAGAATATTTTTAGCATATTCTACAAAAAATATGTTTTAATTGCTGTGACTTTGCTTTTTTTTTTTTAAGTAAACTGACCTTCTCTTTTTTCTTATTCAGCGTATTCTGATTATTTCTGTTTAATATGACTATGACTGAAGACTGATCATACTTGGGATTTGATAGTTTTTCCTGAATTTATAGCATAGCATCTTGCAAATGCTAGCTTTTTACTGCTTTTAAAAAAAGAGCTTAAAATAGGTTTGGATTTTAACATTTTTAGTGGTTATTTTACTCTTAATTAATTGGATAATACTTAATTCTGAATTATGAAACTTTGTCAGATTTTGCTGAATAACTGTTTATTATCATAGCTCTTACAGTGTCTCATTATTTCTTTTTTCCTTTTCTTCTAATGTATGGATGGTTTTTCATTACCATTCTTACATCACCAGTACCTCTTTTATGATCTTCACCTTGGTATCTACATTTTACATGTCATATACCTTCTCGAATTTTGTGTCCCTATTTCCAACCAAGTTATGATCCTGAAAGCTAATGTTCAGTTCTGCTATGTGGAGTAATTACAAAAATGTCAGCACTATTAGAAACACTTTGGAGATTGTGGTTTTATTATTTTTTTTAGGAGAGAGATTTTTGCTATAAGGTACATGTGCTTGCCGGAGAGACAGAGTGAGACAGAAGACAAGAAATCATCCCCAAGGAGAGATGGCTGCTCTGCAACTTCTTCTCTCCTTTCTCCTCTTGGGACCCTGGGCATGCACACACATGTGCCCAACATGAATTTCAAGCCTCCAGGCTTGAACTGCTATTAGCCATGTGGGAGTCCAGCGATGTAACTATTGTGTCATCTGCTGGTCCTTGGCTTTAACTTTTTAAAATTTAATTATTTTAGAGAAACCACTTCATATCAGGCATATTGGTGAACTTCAATGCCAGATTTATTTTTTTTAAAAGAATTATTTATTTTATTTTATTTGTTATTATTTTTAATTCAACTAGAGAGAGACAGAAGAAAAAGTGAGAAAGCAAGCTGCCAGGTCTGGTACTTGAACTGTGGTCAACCATGTGGGAGTCCAGCACCTTAACCACTGTGCCACCTGCCAACCCCGCCAAAGTTCTTTTTTTTTTTAATTAAAGAATTGTTTTTTTAATTAAATTTAATTTTTTCATTCATTTATTTTAATATGACCAGACAGACAGACACACACAGAAGGAAAGTGAGAAAGCAAGCCACCAGGTCCTGTACTCGAACTCGTGGTCGACCATGTAGGAATGTCTAGAACCTTAACCACCACACCACCTGCTAGTCCCCCAGATTTCTTTTAAAAAATATAATGTCAGTTTACATTGTCTAAATTCATTCACAGGCATTTATTTAAAAGATACTGGCTTATTCCTGCTCTTTTTAATCTTTCTTTTTTTCTGCTAGAGGGCATGTGTGTTTGTCAGAGAGAGACAGAGAGAAAGAAAGGAGAAAGCCTCTCTATCCTGTAGGATATAGGCATGCTGAAATCCCTCTCTCCTTCATTTCTCCTTTTGGATTGTGGGCATGCATGCATGTGTGCCAGTATGTTTTTCTCTTTCTTTTCTTTTTTTTTTTAAAGAGATTTTTGGTATAGGGTGTGTGTGTTTGCCAGAGAGACAAAGACAGCAAGATAGAACACAAGAAATCACCCCGGAGAGAAGGATGGCTACACCACAATCCCTTCTCCTCCATTCTCCTCTTGGGATTTTTGGACATGCATGCATATGTGCCCGGCATGAGTTTACACTGTCAGGTCTGAGACTCAAACCACAGTCAACTATGTGGGAGTCTAGTGATGTAACCATTTTGTCATCTGCTGGTCTCACCAGTATGTTTTTCAAACTGCTGGACCCAGGACTCAAACTGCCGTGTGGGATCTAGCTGCCTAAACTACCAGGCTATAGAACTGGCCCACATTTTACATTTTTTTTTTAAATTATTTCTTCTATGAGACAGAGAGAGAAAGAAAGAGAGGGAGAGGTACCCTCAGTAGGGTACTCATGCTTCAATCTACCCCCAGGCTCAGCCAGCCCAGATCATGGGCATATGTGTGTGTCCCACATGTTCAGGGAGGTCCTGGGACATGAACCCAGGAGCTTTCCTATATGGGTTCAGTTGTGCTTATAACTTTCCCATTTCATAATTATTTGTATTATGAATACAAATAATGTTATACTTCATGCAAATTTTTAAGTTATTTTTTAAAAATTATTTATATTTAATTCCATTTGTTCTTATTTTTAAAATTTGACTAGAGAGAGACAGAGAGAAAGAGAGGGAAAGCAAGAAAGCAAGCCCCCAGGTCTGGTACTCCAACCACGGTTGGCCATGTGGGAATCTAGCACCTTTAACCACCATGCCACCTGCTGGTTCTTTTTTTTACTTTTTTTTTAAATTTTTTTGAGAGGTTTTTGGTATAGGGTGCGTGCGCTCGCCAAACGGACAGAGAGACAAAGAGATAGAAAGTGATAAATCACCTCCCCGGCGGATGGCCACGCCACAGTCTCTTCTCCTCCATTCTCCTCTCAGGGTTTTGGGCATGCACGCACACGTGCCCGGTGTGAGTTTAAGCCGCTGGGTCTGGGACGCTAACCACGGGTAACCACATGGGAGTCCAGCAACATAGCCATTACGCCAACTGCTGGTTCCAACCACCTGCTGCTTCTTAAGTTATCTTTTAAAATTAATTTCTGAAAGCTAATTTGTTTAATTTAAGTCTATTAGTATTGCTTAATCTTTTTCTATTCATAGATATTTAATTGTTTTCAGAGTTTTAGGTTCTTAGCACTGTTATTTTCATACCATTGTTTAAGTAGTTTTAAATTCTTTGTGATTTTTCTCCCTCATTATCTAGCTCTTCATTGTCATACTTTTACAACTCCGTATTTCTTCTACATTAAGAAAATGTTCAATGGTTTCTGCCTCTTTAACTTTTATTGTAAGGCTACATAGATTATTTTTATACTTGTGGATTTCTTTTTTTTTTTGGAGAGATTTTTGCTATAGGGCACATGTGCTCACCAGAGAGACAGACGGAAAGAAATCACCCGCTGTGGGGATGGCCACAGCGGGTCTCTTCTACATTCTCCTCTCAGGATCTTGAGCGTGCACGCACATGCACATGGCGTGAGTTTGAAGCCATCAGGTTTGGGACTCAAACTGAGGTCAATTATGTGGTAGTCTAACAATGTTACCATTAGACCACCTACTGGTCCCTTCATGCTTGTGGATTTCTAACAGTATCACAAAAAGTCATAACTTTCAAAATTATTTATTGGGAGACCAGCAGGTGGTGTGGTGGTTAAGGTGCTGGACATTCCCACATGGCCGACCACGGTTCAAGTCCTGGACCTGGTGGCTTGCTTTCTCTCTCTCTCTCTCTCTCTCTCTCTCTGGTCAAATTAAAATAAATTAATGAATAAATAAAATTTAAAAAAATTATTTATCGGGGGACCAGCAGTTAGCGTAATGGCTATGTCGCTGGACTCCCACGTAGTCGACCACGGTTCGAGTCCCGGACCCAGTGGCGTCAACTCACGCCGGGTGCGTGGGTGTGCGTGCCCAAGATCCCAAGAGGAGAATGGAGGAGAAGGGATTGCAGTGTGGCCATCCCCTCTGAAGGGTGATTTCTCGCTTTCTGTCTCTCTCTCTCTGTCTGGCGAGCCCACACGCCCTGTAGCAAAAACCCCTCCAAAAAAAAAATTATCGGATTTGGAAGCAAGATTTAAAAAAATAAATCTGGGGCTGGTAGGTGGAACGGTGGTTGAGGTACTGGACTCCCACATGGCCAACTGCAGTTTGAGTTCCGGACCTGGCAATTTTGCTTTCTTACTTTCCTGTCCTCTTTCTTTCTGTCTCTCTCTGATCAAATTAGAAAATAAGTAATGATAACAAATAAAATAAGTAAGTGCATCTTGGAGAACAATTTCTGTGGCGTGGCTGAGGTGAACAAGAGACAGTTTTTTCAAGAACTAGCAGACAGTGTAATGGTTATGTCGCTGGACTCCCATGTAGTTTACCACGGTTCAAGTCCTGGACCTGGTGGCTTAAATTCACACCAGGCACGTGTGCGTGCATGCCTAAAATTCTGAGAGGAGAATGGAGGAGAAGGGATTGTGGCGTGGTCAGCCCCCTGGGGGGCGATTTCTTGCTTTCTGTCTCTCTGTATCTCTGGTGAGCGCACATTCCCTGTAGCAAAAATCTCTCTAAAACAAAAACACCAAGAAAAGATTACAAAGGAGAGGAATTGAGAAAGATATTCTAGATAAACTTTTAAGAGTTTTGTCTCTAGGGGCGGGCAGGTGGTGTGGTGGCTAAAGGTGCTGGATTCCCACAAGGCCGACTGTGGTTCAAGTTTGAGACCTGGCAGCTTGCTTTCTCACTCTCTCACTTTGTCCCTCTCTGGTCAAATTTAAATAAATAAATAAATAAATAAATACATAAATATATATATATATATATATTTATAAAAAAGAACTTTAAAAAGAGAAAATTATGATGGAGACATTTTGGTGGAGCCAAATGGATACATAGGATTGCCAGAGGAACATAGATTTGCCAGAGGACACCAGTGAGATTGAAGATCATGATTTTGTAAAAATCTGCCTGATTTGGTGTTTCTGTACTCCTCTATTACATTACTTAGCAGTTGGGCTTAGCATTGTGCAAGAACAGTTCTCTGTCAGATATGCAGATAAACCAGGGAATCTTCAGAAAGCTTATCATGTATACTTAGGAGAGGTGGCAGAAAAAGGAAGGATACCAATCTGTAAGCCGACTGGTCTAGGAACCTTTAACAAGCACCTTCTCTGGAAAAGGATAGTTGTTAGTAGCCCCAGAGGAGGGAATTGGACTAATGTGATTTTTTTTTTTGTGATTTATTTTTTTTAAGTCCTATTGATATGGTTAAATTCCCAGGACTCTCAGTTCTTTTTTTTTAAAAGTGATTTATTTAACTTTATTTATTCATTCATTTATTTTTAATTTGACCAGAGAGACACACACAGAGAGAGAAGGTGACAAGCAAGCCACCAGGTTCAGGACTTTACCAGCAGTTACTGTAATGGCTATATCGCTGGACTCCCATGTAGTCGACTGCGGTTCAAGTACCGGACCTGGCGGCTTAAACTCACGCCGGGCGCATGTGTGTGTGTGCTCAAGATCCTGAGAGGAGAATGGAGGAGAAGATATTGCGGCATGGCCAACCCCCCTGGGGGTGATTTCTCGCTTTCTGTCTCTCTCTGTCTTTCTGGCAAGCGCACGCGCCCTATAGCAAAAAAAACCTCTCCAGAAAAAGAAAAGGAAAAAAAATTTTCCCCGGGAAAAAGAAAGCCATATGCTTGTTTGATTAGTGAATCCTTCTTATTTTAATACAAATAAAAGGTGTGAGACCAATAGATGGCATAATGGTTACATCGCTGGACTCCCACATAGTTCGAGTCCCAGACCCAGCTGCTTAAAACTCATGCTGGGGGGCCGGCAGGTAGTGTGGTTGAGGGAGTTGAACTCCCACATGGCCAACCACGGTTAGAGTCCTGGACCTGGCCTTCTCACTCTCTCTCTATGTCTTTCTCTCTCTCACTCTGTCCCTCTCTGGTCAAATTAAAATAAATAAATAAATAAGTTAAATAAAAATAATTCTTTAAAAACAACAACAACAACAACAACAAATACTCATGCTGGGCCCGTGTTTGTGTGCCCAAAATCCCACGAGGAGAATGGAAAAGAAAGGATTGGTGGCGTGGCCATCTCCCTGGGGGTGGGGGCGATTTCTCCCTTTCTATCTCTCTGTCTGTCTCCCTCTTTCTGGTAAGCACATCCGCCCTGTAGCAAAAATCTCTCAAAAAAAAAATTAATAAAAGGTATGAGCATAAGTAGATGTGAGTAAAAGAGAAAAACAAAACAAAACAAAAAACACTATGACAACTGGGATTACTGGCCTGGCTTATGAGGATGAAAACATGTATTATAAAAAATTTGGTTTTGTTGTAGGGTTTTTGTTTGTTTATGTTTGTTTGTTTCCACTGGAAATGTCCTTTTAGGAAGATAGTTAAGCAATAATAGCTAAATTAAAACTGTCCTGGGGCCGGCAGGTGGAGCGGTGGATAAAGGCACTGGATTCCCACATGGCCGACCATGGTTTGAGTCCCAGGCCTGGTGGTTTGCTTTCTCACTTTCCCTTTCTCTCTCTGTCTCTGTCTGGTCAAATTAAAAAAATAGTAATAATAAATGGAATTGAATAAATAATTATTAAAAAAACTGTCTTCATGGTACAGGAATTATAACTTCTTTTTTTTTTTTTTTTGGAGAGATTTTCACTGTAGGGCGCGTGCATTCGCCAGACAGACAGAGAGAGACATAGAGACAGAAAGTGAGAAATCACCCCCCAGGGGGGATGGTCATGCCGCAATCCCTTCTCCTCCATTCTCCTCTCGGGATCTTGGGCACACACGCACACGCGCCCGGCGTGAGTTTTAAGCCACCGGGTCCAGGATACGAACCACGGTCGACTACGTGGGAGTCCAGCGACATAGCCATTACGCTAACTGCTGGTTCCCAAGGAATTATAACTTCTGACTATGTCAAAAAAGAACAGTAGAGCTGGCTAATAGTGCAGCAATTATGCATTGTGCACAGGGAGCCAGATGACATGTGGCTCTGACTGTGGTTCAAGTTCTAGCCCTGATAGCTTGGAAAACACAGCATGTGTGTGCGCACATGTCTAAAATCCTAACAGGATGAAGGAATGTAGGAAAGGAATGAGGGTGTGACCAATTTCTCTATTTCTCTGGTGAATACATACCTCTCTTTGGCATTAAAAATAAAGTTAAATAAAATAATCCTTTAAAAAATAATAATATTCTCCACTTTTTGTTAACTACTGAAGATTTATCTCTGCAAACCATATTAAATGTTAGTGTTTTGAGTAAAGTAACTGCTGCTGATTCATTTGCACAAGAAAACTGATTATAGTCACTTCAACATCCACATTCATTAGAGACTTGAAAGTTAACATATTAGGTCATCGGAGCCAGCAAGTGGCATGACTGGACACTCCCACATGGCCAACCACAGTTTGAATCCCAGACTTAGTGGCTTTTCTTTCTCACTTTCTCTCTCTCTGTGTCTCTCTGGTCAAATTAAAATAAATGAATGAATAAATAAATAAATAAAATATCTTTAAAAAAATATTAGATACTTTTCTGTTTTCTGTGCAAAAATGTGTCATGACTTTCCTGACAATCCAATAACTCTTTTTTTTTTGCAATAAGGTGCATGTACCCGCCAGACAGACAGAGACAGAGAGATAGAAAGCGAGAAATCATCCCCCAGGGGGGGATGGCCATACCACAATCCTTTATCCTCCATTCTCCTCTCGGGATCTTGGGCACGCATGCACACACGCCCGGCGTGAGTTTAAACCACCGGGTCCGGGACGCAAACTGTGGTCGCCTACATAGGAGTTCAGTGACATAGCCATTACACTAACTGCTGGTCCCACAACCCAATGACTCTTTTTTTTCTTTTTTTTGAGAGGTTTTTGCTATAGGGCGCCTGCGCTTGCCAGACAGAGAGAGAAACAGAGAGACAGAAAGCGAGAAATCACCCCCCAGGGGAGATGGTCATGCCACAGTCCCTTCTCCTCCATTCTCCTCTTGGGATCTTGGGCATGCATGCACATGGGCCCGGCATGAGTTTAAGCCACCGGGTCTGGGACTCGAACCGCAGTCGATTACGTGGGAGTCCAGCGACATAGCCATTACACTAACTGCTGGTCCCAACAACCCAATAACTCTTGAAAGCAGTATCTTCTCAGGGTATAGAAAAAATATCTTTTTCCTTTTTTTGGGGGGGAGAGGTTTTCGCTATAGGGCGTGTGCGCTCGCCAGACAGACAGAGAGAGACATAGAGACAGAAAGCGAGAAATCACCCCCAGGGGCGATGGTCACACCACAATCCCTTCTCCTCCATTCTCCTCTCGGGATCTTGGGCATGCACGCACACGCACCTGGCGTGAGTTCTAAGCCACTGGGTCCGGAACGCGAACCGTGGTCGACTACGTGGGAGTCCAGCGACATAGCCATTACGCTGCTGGTTCCCAAAAAGTATCTTTTTCCTTTAGACTAATTAATACCAAACTGATATTCCCTGGGGATCTAAAAAAGCTAGAAATACCAACATTCTTTTCTAAGCTATGAATTCATACGAAGAGTAAAGTGAAGACTGGGTTAAAGAATTTTTAAGGGGTTGGGTCTGTGGCCTGGTGGTTAAGGGAGCCAGTTCCCACATGACCAATTGTATGGTTTGGATCCCAGCTCCAGTGGCTTGAAAAACATGCTAAGTACATGTGTGTTTCCAAAATTTCAACAGGATGGAGAAATGCAGGAGAAGGGATTGCAGCATGACCATGCCCCATAGGGGTGGATGTTTTTTCCCTCTCTTTCTGTCTTTCTCTGGTGAGCACATGTATCCTCTGGCAAATTTTTTTAAAAAATAATTTTTATTCCTGTACATGTATTCACAAACAGGTACTGTATATATGTCAAGAGAATATATCTTCTTTACTAAATAGAATGAATGATTTCCAGTCTCATTCCTTTGAACCATTCTTGCGAGCTCTTCCTTCCCTAACCTGCCTCAGTTTTCTGCTTGAGTATTTTTTATCCCATTTCTGACCTGTGAAGTCATTTTACAAAGCCATATGTTTTCAGCACTTGTTGGTTTTACTTAATTATCCTGTATTCCCTTCATCATTTTCTTTTTTTCTTATGAAGGGAATAGCTGATTTTTCCATTTTCATTTTATTATTTCAGGTTATGAGTCCAGAGAGAACAATATGGAGCTCATAGTAAAGCAAATTTCTGATGAAGCTGAATCACAGTGGATGGCATCAGGAAGCACTGACAGGAATGTTACCCAGAATTCAGAGTTTGCAGAAGTTAGTGACCTTAAGAGTATGGTACAAAGGTGGCAGGTCAATCCTATTGTGGGGCAATCAAAACAGAATGTTTCCCAGAAAAGAGATCTTGGTGCTATCACAGACATTAGCCATAAGCAGAACACAAATGGTGAGAGAGGTCACAGATGTAATGATTGTGGTAAATTTTTCCTTCAAGCTTCAAACTTTATTCAACATCGGCGAATCCACACTGGAGAAAAGCCATTTCAGTGTGGCGAATGTGGGAAGAGCTATAATCAGCGGGTGCACCTCACTCAGCACCAGAGGGTTCACACTGGTGAGAAGCCCTATAAATGTCAGGTGTGTGGAAAGGCCTTCCGAGTGAGCTCCCATCTTGTTCAGCACCACAGTGTCCACAGTGGAGAGAGGCCCTATGGATGTAGTGAATGTGGGAAGAACTTCGGTCGGCATTCGCATCTGATCGAACACCTGAAACGCCACTTCAGAGAGAAATCTCAAAGATGTACGTGTGAAGAGTTTGTATTCAGGAAATAAATAGAGGCAAAAATTGTTCTGTTAGTTTAGTACAGTAGGACAGTTGGTTATGATACTAGGAGTACTAGGAGAGAACAGAGATTTTAGTTATTTTCTTCTATTTATACTTTAATTAATTGTCAAATTAATAGGCAAAACCTATTCCACCCTTACCCCCCCACCCACCCACAACCTCCCTTTCCCTAGAGGTACTTTCCATCAGCTCTGATCTGTCCCCTCCCCCACCAGTAATTCTATATTTTAAAGTAATACTGTATTGCTTGATTTACCCATTTTATACATCTGTTGACTTTCTGTTGTAGTAAATGTGGATTTGAGCCTTCTTACATGGCCTCTTTCTCTTTTTCCCCTTTTTCTTTTTTCTTTCTTTTTTTTAAGAGGTTTTTGCTATAGGGAGCATGCTCTTGCCAGACAGACAGAGACAGAGAGACAGAAAGCGAGAAATCACCCCCAGGGGGGATGGCTACACCACAATCCCTTCTCCTCCATTCTCCTCTCAGGATCTCGGGCACGCATGCACACGCGCCCAGCGTGAGTTTAAGCCACTGGGTCTGGGACTTGAACCATGGTCGGCTACCTGGGAGTCCAGCGACATAGCCATTACGCTAACTGCTGGTCCCCCCCTTTTTCTGATTTAGTTAGGTCTCTTATTTTATTTTAAAATGAAAGCAATGACAAGATTGGCCCTATAGCACAGCAATTAAGTCCTGTATATTGGGAGCCAGATCTTACATAACTGACTGCAGTTCAGATCCTGGCTCCAGTGGCTTTATTGTCCTCTTCTCATTGGACAGATACCAAAAGATTTGTTATTTGCATTCCCATTAAAATCAAGTGTATACATGCATCCTCTTCTGTTACTCTTATTACCTCATAGTTTCATCTGATTATCCTCTTTTTCCTGACCATTTGTTTTTCTTCTGTAAAAGAAATGACATCTGCATTTGCTCTGTATTTTTTTAGGCAGCGACAAAAGAAGTAACACAAAATCTAATGTTCAGAAGAAGAATTCAGAATTCTCAGAAGCAGATACGGAATTATCAGGAAAAACCCAAAGAAATGCTTCCCAAGTTCAAGATTTTGAAGATGGCTGTGAACATCAAGGAAAGGTGGATAGAAAGCAGGGACTTCCCATGAAAGAAATCTTAGGACAACCTTCCTCAAAGAGGATGAATTGCAGTGAAATTACATATGTCCACAAAAAATCCTCCACAGGAGAGAGACCACATAAATGTAATGAATGTGGAAAGAGCTTCATTCAGAGTGCTCATCTTATTCAACATCAACGAATACACACTGGGGAGAAACCATTTCGGTGTGATGAATGTGGGAAAAGCTACAATCAACGTGTGCACCTAACTCAACATCAACGTGTTCACACTGGTGAAAAACCGTACACCTGCCATTTATGTGGGAAGGCCTTTAGAGTGAGGTCCCACCTTGTTCAGCACCAGAGTGTGCACAGTGGGGAGAGGCCCTTTAAGTGTAATGAATGTGGGAAAGGCTTTGGGAGGCGTTCACACCTTGCTGGACACCTGCGACTCCACTCTAGAGAGAAGTCCCATCAGTGTCGTGAATGTGGAGAAATCTTTTTTCAATATGTTAGTCTAATTGAACATCAGGTGCTCCACATGGGTCAGAAAAGTGAGAAAAATGGTATTTGTGAGGAAGCCTATAGTTGGAACCTGACAGTGATTGAAGATAAGAAGACTGAGTTACAAGAGCAGCCTTATAAGTGTGATATATGTAGAAAGACGTTTAGTTACAGTTCAGACCTTATTCAGCATTACAGAACTCATACCGCAGAGGGAACCTATAAATGTGACGTATGTCGGGAACATGGTGGCCAGTGTTCACACATAAAACATCAAAGAATCTGTTCTAGCACAAAACCCCATCAATGTAGTGAGTGTGGAAGAGGCTTCACTTTGAAGTCACATCTTAATCAACATCAGCGAATCCATACTGGCGAGAAGCCTTTTCAATGTAAAGAGTGTGGAGTGAGTTTCAGTTGGAGTTGTAGTCTCTTTAAACATCTGAGAAGCCATGAGAGGACAGATCCCATAAATCCTTCAAGTGTATAGGTTTTCTATTACTCAATTTTAGAAAAGCCTTCCTGAAGAGAAACCTTAATTCTATAATGAATGTAATAACAACTTCAAACATTCTTTTAATTTGACCAGGAAATCTACAGATATGTTGAAATCTTTCAGTTAGAACTCAGTCTTTAGGAATACTGGCAGATCCACAATAAGTAGGTAACCTGTCTGCTTTCTCCATTGAGAAATACATTGGTTAGCAAATTCATGCTTGGTAGTCTAGACAAAAAGAGAAGCTGTTGATTTGGTTGATGGAGGAAAGCATTCAGACATTTATTTTTCATTTGAAACTCAGAAAATTGACACTGAGAAAACCTCATGAATGCAGTAGAAATAAGCTTTATTTGTAGCTCCTGCCTTGTTCGACAGTATTTCTATTCAGGGAAGAGAGCAGTGAGAGAGAATTCTTCAGCATGATACCTGTTTTGGTACCTCAGTAATGAACCTGTCTAGATGTGATTATCCCAACCAATAGAGTACTCCAGTCATTGTTCTCATCCTGAGTATTAAACCCTTTGAAAAGAAATTGGCTTAAGTTATCTCTATTTTGGCAAATATTGTGGGGCATTCAGAGGCTAGATAATATGTGTTCCTGCTGCTTTTTACATCTGTTGATACAGCTTTTCCACAAACCATTTTTTGTTTTGATTCTTCTAGTATCAATATTAGCTGGAAGAAAGAGGAGTTAAATTTTTAAATTCAGGAGAAACCGTGATGGTGAATCAGATTTTAAGATGAAAGAGGGTGACCTTAGAATAGAGAAAACTGTAGATTGGTTTATATTATATTATCCAGAAGAATGAGAGCAGCTAGATACATATATTGGATCAAGCTGAACCAAGAAATTTGGTTCAAACATATGTGTACTGATTCCCAGGAGCCTCCCATAAAGGGTGAGTTTCAGTTTGTATTGCAGCTGGAACGGAAAGAGAGCAGTAATGAGAAGGTAGGTATGTGGTCTAGTTAGCTCTGCCTCATGAGAAGGTCTGGGTAGGAATTTTGAGAGGGAAGGAAGACGTGGATAAGAGTTTACTTGAGCCTGTTTGCTGAAGCCCTGCTTCTGCTGACTCTGCCTGGCTTACAATAAATGACCAGTAAATATTTGCTGATTTTATGTGTTAATACACTGTGGTGCCCTGTCCAGACCCCTTTGCTGCCATCCCCACTTGCTCTGAGTTTTGGCTACTAAGTTCTTACAGCTCTCTCTCTTCTCCAGAGAAACTGGAGAATTTCCCTCAAACATGGGCGCTGCCTCACCCAGGAGCTAACTCCCCTTTGTGCACCCCACCAAGTGACTGATGGATAGAGACGGTACATAAGGCTATTTGCTTGTCTTGAGGAGGGAAGACTCTAGTACATTTATGCTCCACAGTCCTCCATGGATCAGATCAAGGTTAGACTTTCTCCTACGCTACATCCGTGTTCGGCTCTTTCTCTTTATTCTGTTTAATTCTGTCCCTCAAAGGCTTTTCCTGAAGACCATGCTCTCAATAAGTAGGTCTGGGGGCTGTTTGGGGGGTGTTGGTTAGGGGTGCTGGACTCCCACATGGCCGACCACAGTTTAATTCTCAGACCTGGCAGCTTGCTTTCTCACTCCCTTCCCCCCCTCTCTGTCTCTTGCTGATCAAATTAAAATAATAATAATTAATAAATAAATAAATAAGATAATTCTTTAAAAAAAAATAGGGGCTGGCATATGGTGTGGTGGTTAAGGGTGTTGGACACCCATGTGGCCAACTGTGGTTCGGGTCCTGGACCTGGTGGCTTGCTTTTTTTTTTAGAATTATTTTATTTAACTTTATTTATTTACTCATTCTAGTTTGACCAGAGAGGGACAGAGAGAGAGGGAGAGAAAGAAAGCAAGCTCTCCCAGGTCTGGGACTTGAACCAAGGTTGGCCATGTGGGACTCCAGTGTCCTAAATCACCATGCCACCTGCCAGCCCCACAGCTTGCTTTCTCACTTTCCCTCTCTCTCTCACACAATCTGTGCCTCTCTGGTCAAATTAAAAATAAATAAAGTTAAATAAAATTTTAAAAATAAATAAGTGGGTCTTGTTTGTTTGTTTGTTTGTTTTAAAGCAGCAAGAACAGATTTTATTCAGGAAAATGATTGATTGCCAATAAGTGGGTTTTAATCCCTGTCTCAGACTTTGCTTTAGAGAACCTGATCTGTAAGACATTTGGTGCCAGGAGTGGTCCTGGGAAGCTAAGAGTAGATTGTGAAGCTGATCATTTATCATGAGGTAATGAGGACCCCATCATTGGTGGATTGAGTATTGATAGTCCCTGGTCTGAGGTACCTGTTCATCATAGAGACATTCACTTGAGGTGAACTGGGTTGTGATACAAGTGGAAAGGGATGCACTGACTTACGAAGGGTTTGAGATAAATAAGAGTAATATAAGGTTATGGGATTGGGTTGCTCTTGCTGAAAGCCACTAATTATTTTTTTAGAATTATTTTATTTAACTTTATTTATTTTAATTCGACCAAAGAGGGACAGAGAAAGCAAGAGAGAGAGAGAGAGAAAGTGAGAAAGCAAGTCTCCAGGTCTAGGACTCGAACCATGGTTGGCCATGTGGGAGTCCAGTGTCCTCAACCACCATACCACCTGCCTACCCCCAAAACTACTAGTTCTTTGAAGAGAGAAAATAACAGAGCAAATAACTATCAACTTAATACTAAGTGTGAGTGTCAGAGGGCTTCCTGGATAATTTTGAAAGAAACTCCTATCTCCTGCAACAAATTAGAACTAAAGTTGAGGTATAAGACTTAGCTGGGGCTGGCAGGTAGCACTGGTCTCCCACATGGCCGACCTGATGGCTTGCTCTCTCACTTTCCCTCTCTCTCTCTCTTTCTCTCTCCCTTTCTCACTCTATCCCTCTGATCAAATTAACAAAATAAAAAAATAAAATTCTTTTTTTAAAAAAAGATTAAACTGAAAATGATAGAACTTCACCCAAACCTGAATTCCTAACCAATGCAAGTCTAGCCAAAGTCAGGGCTCTTATAGGGAAGAGATGGGAGGAGATTGGTAACTGTACTTGAACACTTAAAATCCCTAGATCCCTTTGAATCTGGCCCTGCAAAAGTGGTCCATCTTGTTGGAAAATAGAACCTTGGGGGAACCAGCAGTTAGCGTAATGGCTATGTCGCTGGACTCTCACGTAGTCGACTGCGGTTCGTGTCCCGGACCCGGTGGCTTAAAACTCACGCCGGGCGCGTGTGCGTGCGTGCCCAAGATCCCGAGAGGAGAATGGAGGAGAAGGGATTGCGGCGTGACCATCCCCCCTGGGGGGTGATTTCTCGCTTTCTGTCTCTATGTCTCTCTCTGTCTGTCTGGCGAGCGCACGCGCCCTACAGTGAAAATCTCTCAAAAAAAAAAGAAGAAAATAGAACCTTGGTAGGACCAGTATATAGCGTGGTGGTTAAAATGGTGGACTCCCACATAACCGACCATGGTTTGAGTCCCGGACTGGGTGACATGAAACTCACATTGGGTGCGTGACCAAAATCCTGGTAGGAGAATGGAGAAGGAACTGTGTGGCCATCTCCCATGGCGGGGGGGTGACTTCTGTCTTTCGGTCCCTCTGTCTTTGTCTCCCTGGCGAGTACATATGTCTCTCTCTCAAAACAAAAAACAAAAAACAAAAAAAAAACAAAGAACCTTGGCGTTTGCTTGAAAACAGATTCCTCAGATGAGGTGAGTGATGTACAATGAGGCAATGCTAATCCTGAGACTCCCATCTTCCTGCTTGCCTACCAGGCACCCAGGCACATTAGGCAGATCCCATCTCATGACCAGACCATGCAAATGCTGGGCCTGCTGAGGAAATGTTGAGCAAGAAAGAGCAATGAAATAAAGACAAGGGGTTGGGGGCTAAACTAGTGAAATAAGTGTAATATGTATAAGGATTTTTTAAAGAGATTTTTGCTATAGGGTACATGCACTCGCCAGAGACAAAGTGAGAACTCACTACCCCCAGTGGAGATGACCACACTGTAATCCCTTCTCCATTCTCCTCTTGGGACTTTGGGCACACACAAACACGTGCTTGGCATGAATTTTAAACCACTGGGTCCAGAACTTGAACCGCAGTCGACTCTGTGGTAGTCCAGCAACATAATCATTACACCATCTGCTTGTCCCAGGTTTTTTGTTCGTTTTAACATTCACATTGGCAAAGATAACAGGGAGCAGAGAGTCGGGGGGGAGGGCGATATAGGAAAAGAGACAAGATGGGTAAAAATCCATTTTTTCCATTGGTAGAGAGGTGCAGGTTCTGACTGAAGTTACAGTTATCTGGGGGGCCGGCAGGTGGCTTGGTGGTTAAGGGCACTGGACTCCCACATGGCTGACCATGGCTTGAATCTGGGACCTGGCGGCTTGCTTTCTCACTCTCCCTTTCTCTCTCTTTCTCACTCTGTCCCTCTTTGGTCAAATACAAATAAATAAAGTCAAGTAAGATAATTAAAAGAAAAAGTTACGGTTATCTGGAGAAAGATGGCAGTCAGCAGAAAGGAATCAGTAACTAGGCAGGTTGGCAACTCTTTTTTTAAAAAAAAGAATTATTTTATTTATTCATTCAGTTATTTTAATTTGACCAGAGAGAGAGAGAGGGAAAATGAGAAAGCAAGCCAGCCACCAGGTCTGGGTCTTGAACTGTGGTTGACCATGTGGGAGTGCCTGGCGCCTTAATCACCAAACTACCTACTGGCCCCGCTTTTAGTTTTTTTGCAATAGGACATGTGTGCTTGCTAGAGAGAAAGAAAGAGAATGTGAGAAATCACTCCCCTCTCTTCCATTCACCTCTCAGGATTTTGGACACACACACATGCTAGGTGTGATTTTCAAGCCACCAGGTCTGAGACTCAAACCATGGTCGGCCACGTGGGAGTCTAGCACTTTAACCACTATGCCACCTTCTTTTTTTTCCTTTTTTTTTGGGGGGGGGATAGGTTTTTTTTTGGTATAGGGCACATGCACTCACCAGACAGAGAGACCGACAGAAAGCGAGAAATCACCCCCCAGGGGGTATGGCCACGCCACAATCCCTTCTCCGTTCTCCTCTCGGGATCTTGGGCACGCACGCACACACGCCCAGCGTGAGTTTTAAGCCACCAGGTCCGGGACGCAAACCGCAGTCGACTACATGGGAGTCCAGCGACATAGCCATTACACTAACTGCTGGTCCCAACCACTATACCCCCTTCTGACCTCCAGC